GGCACAAATTTAGTTTCATTAAAGTTTCGAGTTACTTTTATGTTTTATGAAGTTAATTTCGAAATAGAATCTTTAATATCAAAACATAAAAATAACTAAATAGTCATTCGAAAAAATTTAAAAAATAATAAAATAACTCTGAAGCTTCCAACCGAACTAAACCGCTTCGAGAGTCCCTAATTGTCGAACTGAAGCGATAACCGAACCAAATCGTCCAAATTTTTGGTAGAGTTGTAGAGGAGAATATCGGAGTCGAGCAACCATGCATGCTTGGTCACGCTTAATACACTCGTTGGACCCGTGGCTAGTAAGCAAAAAAGTTTTCAATTATTCACCTAAGAAAAGGACATAAAGCGAAAAAAAAAAAAAAAAGTCAATTATATTCTGGAGTTTTTCCGCATAAATAACCTTTCCCACATTGCACACATGGACCACCTCGCCACAGCTTTCAATTACTCTATTCTTTTATATTTCTTTTCTTTTTTTTTTTCTTTCTTTTTTTTCCTGTTTTTGTTTTCTGTCTTTACTAGGAAGTAGCACATGGGATGTTACATTGTCAAAATTGCATAGATCATGTCCATTTAGCCCAAAATATATGTTTAATGTTACTTTGTTAAATAATATTAATAATACGAATTCATTAAGTTTTAATCATAAATACGATTTTTTTATTTAATTAAGGGAAGTTTTAATTTTCATAAAGGTAACAATTACCCACTACTTAATGATGGTTATCCTCTTCCATGATTATCGGGAAGATTGAATCCCCTTCCTTCCATATGAAACCGTAAATCAAGAAAATAAAAATTGATTTTCTCTCCATATGCTCCAGTGTACCCTCTTTACAAGAAAGAAAACAAAAACACTTCCCCTAAACATAAAAAAAAAAAAACCTCTTCTGTCCCAAAATATTCAATGGCCAAGCGAAGAAAAACTGAGGCAAAATCCGTCATTAGTGAATATGAAGAAGATTAAACAAAAACAAAAAAAGGCCCGACGACAACAAGGGTAAAGCACAGATTGTTGATTTTCTAAAGAATCAACAAGAATTCGACTTGGATTTCATAATTGATAAAGAGGAAGAAGATCATTCAAGTGAAGTGGATGCAGACATCTCAAATGATGATAGTGAGATAGGCTCGGACATATGTATGTGACTTAGGTTGATTATATCTCGTTTATGTAAATTAATTTAATGTTATTTCACTATGTCGTCTTTTTTTTAAGAATCTTTGTTCTTTAATGTCAAAGTGTATTATGTTTATCTTGTTTCATGAATGTTTATATATTGATTATCTTATGTATAACTAAACGTATCTTTTTTTATTTGCTTGTTTTAGGAATGTTTATATGTTGATTATCTTATGTATAACTAGACTATTTTTTTAGATTTTGCTGTCATTATCTAAAATTTGTCATATTTGTTTACCTAATGCATATATTTACCATAACTATAATCTTTCTAACATTTATTTTCATTGTTGTCTGATTCTATCATATTTGTGTGTCTAATGTATATGTTCTATCTATCTATATATGTTTTGAGTATGTCAGAACATGTTTATCTGATGTATATATATAGTATACATATCAGTGAAAATTCCACGAACAAAAATTATTTTCTTTTCCCAGCCTGACTATTTTCTTTCCCAGCCCGATCGGTGTTTTTTTTTTCAGCTAGATGGACGATTTTTTTTTTTCCAACTGAACGAGGTCGATGAACATAAAATCCCGTTTGAAATGAATTCGTAACCATGAATTGCAGGTATCATATTTGTTTTCTTTTTTTCGAATTTATGTTTTATTTGCCTAGTTTACACTGAAATTGATTGTATGTTCAAACTTCAATATATAGAGAGAGAAACCGACCAGCAAGAGAGAGAAAGTATTATGACAGAAGGTATTATCGTAGATGTGAAAAAATAATAGTTTATGTAGTATTTTTTATAATATAATATCAAACTATTATTTGTTCTAAAATTTGTTGTCATATAATTTCATTATTACTATTTATTAAAGTTGTACAAATAGTCTTCTTTTTTTTATGTGATGATAAATATTTAATGGACGTTAATATTATTTATTAATATTAATAATTTTAAATTATATAAACAAAATTCAAAATAAAAAATTGTGAGTAAAATGTTTTACCACAGTTGTACACGTTCTATTCAATTTTCAGAATTTTATCGTTTTCTATTAATAATTATAAAATAAAAATAATTTTTAGTAAGTAAGCCCTTTATTTTATTTACCATGTAAACATCAATATTGTTTTTGAAGGTCAACTATAATTGATAAATAGAGAAACAAAAATAATTTCTAGTAAGTAAGCCATTTATTTATTGACCATATAACAACAATATTATTTTGAAAGTTCAACTATATTTGGTAATTAGAGAAACAAAAATAATTTCTAGTAAGTAAGCAATTTA